CACACACACACACACACACACACACACACACACACACACACACACACCCCACCAAACAAAAAGACAATTAAATTGTTCATAAAGAGCTCTCCAGTGTGCTTTTTCATGACAACTTCTTTCTGGTATTCATTGGTGGAATGGCATCTTTCTATAAACGTGAAAAAGGAGACATGATAGACAGGTTTCTTCTTTTATTTATCATTTACCTTTACGGAATCAAAACAAAAACAAAGCCTACTTGTGATTTCTATTACAAGCATCCTCTTCACAAAAGGAAAAAAAGTGAAGGGGAGAAATAATATGAAAGAAAATACCACATACATTTGATGACTCTGTATTTTATATTTAATGCCCTTGGCAATAGGTTTATCACTTTCTCAGGTCACTGCGTAGCATTTAAGGACAGAAAAGGCTTTGGAGCTGAATTTGCAAAGCATTTAGAAGCATACCAATTCCTAAGGAATCTTCTTATATGAGGGGAAAAAAAAGGTGCTAAAAATGATGGTGGTAAGAGAAAACGATTAAAAAAGAAAACTCCATTTTGACGAGGCAGGTTAAACAGTGTTAAATAGACAGCCTCCATATATGATATTAAAAAACTGGAACTCTTCCTAATCTTTTCAAAGTTTTGATGTCTTTACAACAAAACACAGTTCCCACCCCCCCCTCAATATTTTAACAGCTGTGTGCCAGGCTGTATATTCCTAGGGACACTTGTTTCACATTATCTTACTCATCCTCACAAGTGTTAACTTAAGTCAGTGTTCTCAATGGAGCATGAAAACAACTGTTTAAAATAATGAGATGTTATTTTCAGGACATACAAGCTTATTACAACATTAATAAAAATTAGGATCTGTAGTTGTTGGAGAGATAAATAAGTGAGCAGAAAGATAAATATTATGTGGGAAAAGTAAGGACTAGTTTTGTTTTTATTTCAATATTAACTAGTAACATCTAGCTAACCTTACAAATACACTTATCTCTCCCGCTGCCTTGGGGTGAAATGAGGTAACTTTTCTACATCTTAAAAAAAGCCTGTAAAAAGAAGAGAACTTGGGAAAAAGAAAGAAAAAAAAAAAACTAAAGAAGACAACTACCTTCTTTCGGGGTATAATTCTCTACCAATAACCATTTCCCGTGACTGCTTCCCCTCAAAATACTTCTAAAACCTGAACACCCAGAGAAAAATGTTTATATAGCATATATTTATTCATGGAACTGCTCAAAGTGTGGACTTAAAGTTCTATATAAGTATGCAATGCCCAGTACTTACTGATTAACTGTTGATGAAGACAGGGCAATAGCATTTTGGCTCCACCATCTAGCTCAACTGCAATCAATTAAAGAGATTCACGGAGAATATGCAGGTTCTAGATCAGTCCCAAAAAGCATATTTTGGGGTGAGCCTATCAACTAAAATAGTAAAAAAAAAAAAAAAAATTAGCTTTTTTGGTGGCACATAAAGTACTTACTTAGTATATGGGAGTTAAAATAAGATTATCATAAAACATGAAATATTTTTTCTTCATAACTAACACGTAATTTTTTCCCCAGAAATGATCAGGCTAGTTTTTGTCCCTTGTGAATGAAGGGAAAAAAACTTTATTCTCACACCAAATTTTAGTCAAACAGATTGACAATTTTTGTAACGGTAAGGAACATACACTTAATTTCTCCCTGAACCTTAACTAAGTCTCTAAATCTTAACCTAATAAATGTATCTTACCACCACTACAGCATAACAGTAAAAAGGTAAGTTTTTGGTGTATTATCAGCACGGTCTTTAAACGTTTAAATGCTGGTAAATTATTCAAATTACTAAATAAATAAATAGAAAAAAATGCAGTGACACACAAAGTTATTTGAAACACAAGTTTAAGAGCAGCTCAAAGAAAAAAAATCTGAAGTAATGGAAAAATATGAAAATCCTTCCCTGAAAAATAGTTTTTCTCTCTAAAACTTTCAACACAATGCAAGAATGTTTTACTTGAACTGGAGCTTAAAAGCTATAAATGGTTGTCTTCGGGTAATCAAAATAAAGGTAAAATCGATAAAAGATAAAATACTTCCAAACGGTATTACTGTAAGTTTAAAATACTGAACATTAGGAAGTAATCCTACAGAATACGCTTTTTGTCAAATGTCCCAACAAGCAGCCTCACCTACGGTCAGAAAGAAGGTGCACAACGATCAATCAAGTTACGAGAAAATAACCATTGCATGTGAATTTCCAAATTCAATCAGGGAAAGGGAGCCCTGACTTTTACATTTCACAGATTAATCACCTCTCCTTATCTACACCGAATTTTTATTCTAAAAACACATGCTGTACCATTCAACTGCATAGAATTGGCCACTTCTACCCTCAAACCTGTGCCGCAGATTCCCTAAAGATTCTCAAAGTCTGTTTTAAAGGACGAAGAAAATTAAAAAATTTTAAAACTTCCTCGGAACTCGTCAAAATACGACAATCCCTATGTTGCAGGCTCATTTTCCTGTTCTCTGCCGGGTTAGGGCTGTCTCCCCGCACTTCAGCTCCTATGTTTCCCTTTTAAAAGAGACTCAGGCTGACAGTGATGGTTCGGTCAGCAACCCCGATCCCTTCCGCTTAGGCCATGAACAGCTGAGCGAGAGTGAACCCCAAAAGGTGGGAGAAGAGTCGAAGAGGCGAAAAGGTAAGAGGAAAAAATAGGGGGTGCGGTGGGGTGGCGCGAGGCAAGCCCCAACTCTCTCGATCCCATCCAAGCTCACCTCTCCTTCACTGTACCAAATAAAAACGAAAAGGTAACAAAAACGTAAAAAAGAAACCCTACGAAAAAGCAAGGAAGGCTTCCTTACTCTCGGGGTTCCCGGGCCCGATTCTCTCGCCAATCTCCCGGCCCACCCCACCCCCAGGGGTCCCGGCGCCATTTAGCTCCTACGAAGCCGCCGCCATTTTCCGCCCCCGCCGGATCGCTAGCTGTGCCTCGGCGGCTGCTCGCTACCCTGCTCTGCAGCCCACGCCACCGCCACAGGCCTGGCCCCGAGAGGGAGGCCCTGGCGTGAGCGTGCGGGGACTGCAGCTTCAGCGTCACGAAGGCCCAACTCCCACCCCGCCCGCGGTGCCCGAGCGCCGGCAGCTGGCGCCGGCCGGCGAGAGCAGGCGGGCAGCAAGGGGGCCGGACAGGCTCCACTGGGCGGAGCGGCCCTAGCGGCGCCTGGGACCTGAAGCTTCCATCGCACTTACTTCCTGTTTTGGGTCCGGGCACTTTGGAAGAACCAGGATGGAGGCTCCAAAAAATACCAGGATGGAGGAAGCAGCCACGGGCAAGAGTGGCTGCAGCTGGAGTGAGCGAGCGCGACAAGCCACCGGAAACGGAGCTACGGCCGCGCCCCGCCCCCAGCCCCCGCGCGCTCCCCCGCCCGGCCTCCTCTCCCTGGGGGCGGCCCTGCGCGCTGGCCGTGGCGTCACTTCCGGCCAAGTCGGAGCGCGAAAAAAGGTCCTTGGTTATTTGAGCTTCGAGACCCGTCTGAGTGGGAGTTGTTCGTTGTCTGCTCTTTTCTCCTCCTCCTACAAGGAAATAGGTACTGACTGCTGCCATGAAGGAGGACCTTCTTTCTTTGGCGCAACTGTGGTTTTCCTGGCTCGGCGACATTTGGGCCTCGCCAGCCGACTTTCGTAATTATTCTGGGCCTCGGAGCGGAGGGAGCCTCGCGTGTGGAACTGTTAGAAAGCGGGGTCTGGGTGCAGACGATAACCGGGAATTGTATGTCTGGCTCTTCTGACTTGGTCTGCCTTGCCGTAGGCGCGTAGAGGTGTTACCCGTTGGGCGTATGATGCAATTCTTGGTGAAATGTATCCTGTGTGAATATGCTGTTCTGTAGTGCACAGTACGCCTTATAAAACACGGCTTTTCTAAAGTGGATGCTCTTCAGCTAGGCTGGGGAGCTTTCAGGGAAGACCAATACTCGGCCCCGCCCCCAGAGAGTCTTTAAGCTTCCAGAGACTCCTGCAGAGATTTTTGTTTTGAAAGAGTCCTGAAAATTTTTTTAATTAATTTTTTTTACTGGAGTATAGTTGATTTACAATGTTGTGTTAGTTTCTGCTGTACAGCGAGTCAGTTATACATGTACATGTATCCACTCTTTTTTAGAGTCTGTTCCCATATAGGTCATTACAGAGTTGGGAATAGAGTTCCCTGAGCTATACAGTAGGTTCTCGTTACGTAGCTCTTTTATTTAAAGTAGTGTGTATATGTCAATCCCAATCTCCCAAAGAGTTCCGAAGATTTTAGTGGTCAGAACCCTGTTACAACTCTTCTTAGGATTCATTTCACTTGTTTATAAAATTGATTTATTGTACGCTGCTTTTCTTTTGCTAGTGGGATGAGAGGAGTTTAGAAATTAGATTAGACAAATGTTCTTGCATCCAGCAACTATGTGTAGACTTAACACTACATTGTCACAATGGGAGTGTAGTGAGCATCGGTTGTAAAGGTCAAATGAAGACCGTCAAGAGTGTATACTACGTCTTGAATTGATCTTAACTAATGAAGTTGATAATGCTTAGTGATTTCTTTTCCTCTCTTTTGGCTTTAAAAAAAATGTTTTTTGCAACCCCGGTTTCTTTTGAATACAAAATGTTGTTGGAAGACTTCGTGGAAGTGACACTAATTCATTGAAGAAAGGGGAAAAAGTACACACTGAAATGGGTTTAGTTAGATAAATATTTGTTTCGATTTTAAGCCAAATGTACACAGTTTTCACCAGTAGTCCACATTATCTATTCTTTGGGGTAACTGTCTCACTCATAAATGTTGCATTTCATAAAAGAGAGTGTAAAACGAAATACCATCACACACCAATTTGAAGTGCTAAAATCCCAAACGCTGACAACACCAAGGGCCGATGACGCTTTGGAGCAATAGGAGCTCTCATTCATTGATAGAGGGAATGCAGAATGGTACAACCACTTTGGAAGACAGTTTGGTGGTTTCTTACAGAGCTAAGCATATTCTTACCATGTGATCCATTAATTGCTCCTTGATATTTACCCCAAATAGTTGAAACCTTACCTCCACATAAAAAGCTGCACAGAGATATTTATACCAACTTCATTGTAATTGCCAAAACTTAGAAGCAACCAAGATGTGCTTCAATAGGTAAATGGATAAACTGTGGTACATCCATACAATCGAGTATTCAGTGCTAAAAAGAATTGAGCTGTCGAGCTGTGAAAAGATGTGGAGGAATCTTAAATGCATGCCACTAAGTGAAAGAAGTCTATCTGAAAAGGCTAACTACTGAATGATTCCAACTATCTGACTTTCTGGAAAGGGCAAAACTATGGAGATAGTAAAAAGACCAGTAGTTGCCAGGGTTTGAGGCCAGAGGAAGAGAAATAGGTGGAGCACAGGATTTTTTAAGGCAGCGAAATGATTTTGTATAATGCTGTAATGGTAGATACATGGCATTATACATTTATCAAAACCCATACAATGTACAACACAGATAGTGAACCCTAATGTAACCCACGGACTTTGGTTGTTAATGATATATCAGTGTTGGTTCATCATTTGCAAATAAATGTACCACTGCGGTGGGGTATGTTGATAATGTTCATGTGTAGGGCAGCGACGATGTGGGAAGTCTCTGTGTCTTCCCCTCAATTTTGCTGTGAATCTTAAACTGTCCCCCCAAATAAGGTCTATTTAAAAAGAAGAAAATATAAAAGGGCCTGGATTTGGACAAGGTTAGCTAACATTTTTTGAGTGCTTATGTGTCATTTAAATGCTTTACATATATTAAACACATTTAATGTTCACAAGTGCCAAAGCTTCAGTATAGTTATTATAAATGATTCCCATTTTAGACAAGAACCAAAAAAGTGAAGGAATGTGTCCAAGGAAACAGCAAATAAATGGTAGAGTCAGAATGAAAGCCTCAGCTCCAGAGCCTATGCTCTGAACTACCCTTCTGCAGCTCAAAAAGTACACTTCGGCAACAGTCTTTTTATAATGAAAAATTATTACAACCAGTTTCCAGAGTCTTTACTGAACTGGAAGAAGGACACATTTGACCAATTTTCAAAAATAACTGTCAAGAGCAGCATTTTATTGCATCTAACTTTATTACCAGTTTGTGGTAATCGCTGCATCCCACTGTGGTTATGGCATATATCGTTCAGTTTTTAAATGAGTATATAAATAATAGGTAACCAACACCACGAGGCAGGAGAGTGTTGTGGTATAGATGTTGAACTCAGACCCGAGTGTGAATCTTGACTTTATTGCTTAGCGGTGGGTATGGTACTTCGCATCTTTAAGCTTCGTTTGCTTTTGAAAAGTGGGGATGCTAAAATCTATCTCCCAGAATAATGTAGGCAACATGCTTTGCACAGAGCCTGTCATATGTAGTAAGCACTTAAATACGGAAACTAATAAACCCGTGAACCAGAAAAGCAATTAAATTACTCAAAGTGGAGTTCTAATGATATAATAGTTACATAGGTAAAGTTGTTAACATTACCATTTATGAGGAATTGGTTCTTAATTAGCTACATTTTCCACAAAGCATTACCCTGTAGGATTCTTTTTCACTGAGGCATAAGAGAGTGTTATCTAAATTACAGTTGCTACCCATTCTCTTCTGAAAAATCTTAGGTTAGTCTGCACTTTGCTGTTAATTCCCTAAAAAAAGTCAAGTGCATCCTCATAATTAATTCTTCCTTTCTGGGTGAGTTTCTTTCATAATTACCTTTTCCCAAGGTCAATTGGTGTTTACTTGGGGAAAACAAGTATATTTTAGTATTAGTTTTAATACATAATTTTAAAAGTAAACCTATAATAGTAACACCTCTATATCTTTAACATGTATTATCAATGTAAGACTATCCAAAGTTTTAACCTAGAGCAACTTTCTGCAATTATAATTCTCGGTGTTTCCTACCTCACTACTTAGTATGTACCTAGGGAATGCATGAGATTTTTAATATTATCCTAGGATTTACCTAATTAGTAATTATTTTGTAGAAAAAGTGAAAAATTGTTCTTTCATAAATAGAAGGTATTATAAAAGTATAGCACAGTTATGGTATTTACTGCATTTGCTAGTTATGATTAGCTCTGTTGGACTCCAGATTTTTTATAACACTTTCATGAACCTCATCAGCAATAGAATATTGATGAAATGACCTTCCTTTTTTGAAAGGTTGATATGTTAATATAAAAGTGTTTCAAATACTGAGAGGCTGGTTCTATTGTTTAATGATTGTCTCATGTCCTGGATGTCATGATTCAGAATAAAGAGATGTTTCCAAGGACTTCTGTTCAAAGTAAATGAAAAATATAATTATTGAGTAGCCCATTTTCTTTCTACACAGTCTTTGAGTCCTATTAATACAACTGATGTGTATGCACTGGAAGCCCTGCCAGAATTTCCGGCAAGCTGATGGGGATTCCTGTGCTAATAGAGGAATGAGCAAACTGTCCCTAGTTAGGCCAACACATCAGGCTCTTCCAAGTCCTCTTCTGTCTGAGATTCCTCCTCCAGGCTTTTGTCTGGGACTTACGGCACTCCATCTCGTAACCCCTTTCCTGCTCTCCATTTCATGTCAGTGTCTCATCCCTACACCTCTTTTAATCTTTCAGCCTGGTTACCTCTTCACTTAATTTTCTTTTGCAGTAGAGCTTTACTGAGGCCTATTCATGGAACATTAGCAAAAATTGGTTCTTCTTCCAGTTAGGAGAATGGAGAACTAAGACTTCAGATCTTCCCAGCAAGTGAGGATGGAAGTTTTCATTCTGTCCTTGAAAATTTTGTGGGCAAAATGAAACAGAAACAGTTAAGTTACTTTACTAAAATTGGGAGAATGTTTGAACCCAGATTCAAATATCTCTTCCTTTATAGTCTGGCCTAGAAGGGAGAGGGACCATATATTGGTAAATCAACCGGTAATTTGCCAGTGTGGTAAGTTCTAAACTCTGAAGGTGAACTTTATGTAGGGAGTTCAGAGCTGGGTTTTCTGAGAAGACACTTGAGCAGGGACTGGAAAGGTGACAAATTACCAGAGTAGGGGGCGGGAGGTAGGAAGGCATTTGTTCAGGTAGTGTGGGAAAGAGTGTGTTTGTAGAAAGCAACTGGTCTATAATGTTTATAAAATGGTGAGAGCACAGTGCTGGTAAGTATTAGGCTCAGTCTCTTGCTGATGTTAACTGAGTTTAACCCCATTCCCCTAAGGCTGGACCATCTGCTGCCTCTGCCGTGTCTTATAGCTTCAGTTTGCCAGCATCTGGTACGCTACCTTAACTTAGCAGACACTTAGATGTTTGTTGAGTTCAAAGATAATTGTGTCTTAA